TAGATTAGTATAATTATTAAGCAAGACAAATAGAGCACAAATAAACAGTATGCAGTGTCCTTTAATTTGAACAGCAAATCTGATGTAGTTTATAACATACCTTCAACAATCATCTTCAAAATTCAGTATACCTTTACTCATCTGTGTGTCACATTATGTGGCTTTATGATCCTCTTCCTTCCCTTACTTGCTGCTTTTCTTCTTCAATTTCATTTCTCCCTCCACAAGTAGTTGTTTGTGATGTATTTCTCTGGTTCTCTTAAGTGTTCCTCATCTTTGGGAGATGTGTTAACTAAAGGAAGTTAGAGGCCAGGACATATGGCTCTCGGGCCTCAGTTAGTTATGTTCAGTTGGTGTTTATGCTGTTCAAATGCAAATATCAATTTCTTTAACAATGTTCAAAAGGTAATTCTTGGAATGGTAATAGTGCTATATAGTCGCTTCTCAGTGTACACGTCATTCAGCAAACCTGAAACTTGCCAGAACACTTGATAGTGTTTTTTTAAAAGGAAAAAAAAAAAATAAAAACAAACAAACCACACACAAACCCACCAAAACCCAAACAAGCAAAAAAAACACCCCCAAAGCAAAAGTGAGAAAACATCCACCAAAACCATGTGCACCCTGGTGAAGTAGTATTGCTGTGCTCTAATCTCAAACAGTGGAATTTCTTGGGGTCTTAAAATCTGAAAGGCTAGATGTTTTACTCATTTTGGTGTGTGTGATGAATATGGTGTTGGAGAGAGGAACAAATTGAATAGCCTTCCATTGTAATATGTCACAATCATCATAAGTGTGTGTAATACTATTTAATATCGTTGGTTACAGCAGCTCTCTGGGAAATCACAGGTACTTTGCTGTTTTTTTAGGTTGAGGTAAAATCTGGAGAGGAAGATGAAGAAATTCTCTTCAAAGAGAGGGCAAAACTTTACAGATGGGACAGGGATGCCACTCAGTGGAAGGAGCGTGGTGTTGGAGAGATAAAGATCCTCTTCCATACACAGAAGAAATACTATAGAGTTCTAATGAGAAGAGACCAAGTTCTTAAAGTCTGTGCAAACCACGTCATCACCAAAGAAATGAACTTAGTGTCCTCTGATACATCAAACAATGCTTTAATTTGGACAGCCACAGATTATGCTGGTGAGTTGTTCAGGTGATTTTTAGTTTGTTTTTTTTTTTGGTGGTTTTTTTTTTTTTGTTTGTTTGTTTGGTTTTTTTTTTTGGTGGTCTGTAGTTTCTGTGGCTTTGTTTTTCCCTGGAGATTGTATATGATGAAAGCTATTTGTTTTTGACTATACTGAACAGAACTAAATAAACCTTTTCTTGAATTTATTTTCAGATGGTGAAGTAAAAATAGAACAATTTGCAGTCAGATTTAAAAGCCAAGAAATGGCTAATTCTTTCAAGAGGAGGTTTGAAGAATGCCAGCTAAGTTTGTCAGAACTGCAGAAGGGACACTTATCTCTGGCAGCGGGACTGTCAAAGGACACCAACCCCATTGTATATTTTGAAGTTTCTGCTGATGATGAACCTTTAGGGCACATAACCATGGAGCTGTTCTCAAATATTGTCCCTCGAACTGCTGAAAATTTCAGGGCCCTGTGCACAGGAGAGAAAGGATTTGGATTCAAGAACTCCAGCTTTCACAGAATAGTCACTGACTTTGTGTGTCAGGTAAGCGTAACAGTAAGACTTTGCATTGAGAGAATGAGATGCATCTTGACTAACAGTGGCACTTCAAAAAATCACTTATGTGGGATAGCACATTCTTGTTGGCAGCATGAATCCAGAGTGCAAGATACTCTCATCCACCCTTTCCTTACAAGGAGATGAGAAACGATGCAAGCAGCACATGCTCCCTTAAGCCAAATGCTTCTCACTCGTGTCTGCCAGCTGCCTGATGTTTTAGTGTTACCTGGTGCTGCCATGTTAGTGTGGAAGAAAAAAAGAGATGGAGATCTCCTCTTAAAATGGACAAGGGGCCTGTTGCTGAACAGGAGCACCACCAAGGAGAGCAGGGGCTCCCAAAACTACCATCCAGTATACTTTGTATTTCAGGCAATGTGCACTTTAAAACTGATATTCCAAGTATATTAGATGCTCAAGTGTCCATCTGAAATAGTCTTCTAGATCTCATTCTCATGCAGTGGCCTTAAAATACTCAAAATTTTTCACCAAGACTATCAGCCTGCAGTGCATCTGAACCCCCATGTAGACAGCGCTGGTTTTAAACCTCTGCATGCTTTTGGTAGCAGCAGTAAGTTCTTCATCAATGCTGAAGGCTTTGGAGATTGATTATAGCTCAGATAGACCTGTCCAAAAATTCTCATCAATAATTTGATGAGGTTTAGTGACTTGTAACAGGCAGAATGAACCAACTTCCTTACACACTACAGTAAAGTTCCTGCATGTCAGTACATGCCTGAAGATGAGGCGCAAACTTCTACAAACTCAGAAGAAGATGGTAATGTATGAGTGGCTTGTCACCAGAATAAAGAAATTATCCGGCCTCTTGATTAAGTATTGCCTGTGTCTGAAGTATGCGTTTTATGGCTCTTCTGTTAAAACTTTAATGCTTTTCTGATAAGGAAAGCAGCATTGCTCATTTAGGGTTTAAGCTTGTTTCACAGAGTTCCACATCCAGTAAGGAGGAGGCTTTATTTTAAAACAGTTAACCACACTATGCGTGCCCTGACAGCAAGTGAGCTTTTATCACATTAAATTAGTGTATTCTCAGTTTGTTCAGCTTTGCCTCAACTTTCTCCAGGTGCAATGAGAAGCTTTTCTATGAGAATTAAGGCTTTCCTTCAAAGATGATACAGTAACCTGTACTGTCACCTTTATGTGTATAGTCAAATAATCGGGAACCATAAGCTTGCTGCCTTGCAGAAAGACAAAAGACACTGCTCACTAGCAGTAGCTTGCTCTCCTGAAGAAGCAGTAATGTGGCGAAAGCTGCTGTCTGCATGGGAGTAAGACATTACTGGTCAGTGGTACCTTAACCTTTTTCAGGTGCTAATTCTGTGCCTGCAGGGACTAAGCAAGGACAGGCCTTCAGCAGGGCCCAGCTGTGGGGGCCAAGTGATTCAGGGAGCAGGCAGTGGGGAAGACTGGAGGAGTAGTCACCATGTGGAGCAGGGAAGATAAAAGGCTGTGTTCACAATGGGCAAGGGATAAACTTCCCATTACTGCTTCCATACCATGAACAAAGCTGCTGAAGCTGGGCACCCTTCTGTCTAATTTGATATGGTACTTGTGAAAACTGAGGATGAGTTATTCTAAAGCAAAGTCTCTGCTGTTGAAACGCAATGTAATTGTGCTGTTGGTTTATGTTTCGTGACTTGTAAGTTAATGCTGTGCCCTTCTTTTTTTTTTAAGGGAGGTGATATTACTAATCATGATGGAACAGGTGGACGGTCAATTTATGGAGCGGCATTTGAAGATGAGAATTTCGAAGTGAAACACACTGGTCCTGGATTGTTGTCAATGGCAAATAAGGGCAGGGATACTAATAATTCTCAGTTCTTCATAACACTTAAAAAAACAGAACACTTGGACTTCAAGCATGTGGTATTTGGGTTTGTGAAAGATGGAATGGATGTCGTGAAAAAGATTGAATCCTTTGGTTCTCCTAAAGGGCTCGTAAATGGAAGAATTGTCATTACAGACTGTGGGCAAATATAGAATTATTGCTTTGAGTATACAGATGTTCTAGCAGTATAAATCAGTATTTAGATGTTATTGACTAATTATTTCAACTTCTTAAAATGGACACTTCTGATGTATAAATGTAAAATTACGGCTTATAGTTGGGTTTTTTTATGTGTTCTAATTGATTTTTTTTTTGCATGTTAAATAAAAAGTTCAGACACTGGCATATTTCAGGTGTATTTGTGTTATCTTGACATATTTGTATTAAATGTCAAATTTTCAAAATTAAATCTTAGTCTTGTTAAAATAAATGTCTTGTCTTCACTTTGGTTTGTTTAAAAAAGAAAAACTTGCATAATTTTGCTTCCTGCTCTTGTAAATCTCTCCTTTGAATATGCAAAGTTTAGGTACTAATTGCTGCTCAGTAAACTTGAAGGCCTTAGAAATGTAATGCTTACTTTAATGTGCAGAAAGCAAGCTGAGGCAGCTAGATGCTGGTTTGTGCTGAGGTCTCTGAATAGCACTTCAGTATTTGAAAGCTGGAAAATAGTTCTTCATTGTTGATACTTTGCTAGGGAGGTGTAACCAACTTTTTTGTTGTGTACATAGAATATTGCTAAATGACTTAGTGAAAAACATCTACTTAACACAAGGGTTTTACCTGAAATGCTGTAGTACAACCAACCCACTGCTGCTGCTCAGACCAGGATGTCCCAGGTATCTTCTGCGTGGTCCTTGCCCCCCTTTCCTGGCGCAGACTTTCTGACCTCACTGCAAAACTGAGTAGCTGTATCTTACATTTTATTTTTTAAAACTTTCTCAAGTGAATATGCATTAATTAAATGTGGTGGGTTTTTAAAACTTCTACTCTACAGCTGGCTGCTGGCATTACCAAGGTTTTTTTTCACGGTAAGCAATTTGTCATGATCTGTATGTGACTGAATAGAGTTAGCTTTAAGCTCTCTTTTTTTTTTTTTTTTTTTTTTTTTTTTCTTTTAAGGGTAGTAGGAGTGCTACTTCCCTGCACCTCCTCCAGAAGCCTTAGACTGTAAAACGAAACTGATGTGGCGGGAGCTGTGAGGCGGGGAAGCCCGGCCCCGCTCCGCGGGCGGCAGGACGGCCACAGAGCGCTGTCCCGCCGCGGGGGAGGGGAAGGCCTCACCGGCGGAGAGCCCGTCCCGCCCGGCCGAGCGCCCGGCAGCGGCGGTGGGGCCGCGGGCCGCCCCGGCCCCGCTCCCGGGCAGCAGCCGCCGCTTCCCGCCGCGCGGGAACGGCCGCGCCTGCGCCTGCGCCTCGCCCGGCTCCAACGGGCGCTGGGAGCGCGCGCGCGCGCGCCGCCGCCGCCGGTGGCGGCTCCTTCGAGCGCGGCGGGGCGACATGGCGGGCCCCGGCCCCCGCGGCCGATCCGCCCGGCCTCTGCAGCGGCGTTACCGGCGGGGGCCGGCGGGGGTGAGACGGGAGGGCCGGGGGGGGGGAGTGCGGGAGGGGGAGGAGGAAAGCCGCTCCTCCTCGCCTTGTCCCTGAGGTGCTTGGAGAGGTGTGTGTGTGTGGGGGGGGTGTCTGCGTCCCCTCCCTCGGGGCTCATTGTAAGCGCTGTGGTATTGCGTACGGTGTGAGAGCCAAAAATGGGATTTAAACAGACTTCAGGACCTTGCGGGTATAGCGTGTTCTTTCTAGCCCTACCCGCGTCCCTCTGCTTTTGCCTTACAGTGAAAGTGCTGAAGCGTCAGCCTTGACTGAACTTGAAACTTCCCTGGAAGTTGCAATTCTGAATTTTATGCGTTCCCCAAGCACAGTCTGAGCAGCTCGGCACACAGTTTTTGCCTAAAACCTTCTGATGCCTGCCAATTCGGCAAGATAATACGTGAATTCTCTTAGAAGTAGTATACTAGACATGCATGAAATATATTTAATAGCATAGCTCATTTCTTTCATATCTTCTTTTGCCACAGCAGTTGCTAGCTTTATTTAGAATGTGTTAAGAGTGTTTGTGATTTTTTGTAAACCGTAGTGATCAGCTCTGTTTTGAGGGAACAGGGAATTGTTCCATACCTGGTCAGTCAGAGGAGAATCAAACCCATAGTTTATAAGAAGCTGCCACAATGACCAGAAGGTAAATTACGATGAGGTAAAACAATGCTGTTTTACACCGGAGAATGCCAGGTTCTTTGCGTTAATATGAATGAAGGGACTGGACTGTGATTCCTCTGTTCCCATTACTTGTGCTGACATAAGCATTTATGGGTCTGCAGTGGATTAGGCAACTGTGATCTGCCTAAAAATCCAGCAGCAAAGTCCTCTCCCACATGCTGGTGTTCCAAGTCTTTGACACTTTGGTAGAAGGAATGCTCATTGGCTAGGCACTCTACTTTTATTTTGGCTGAAGTCTGTTTGTCTTTCACCGAGACAAATTTTTGTAGTTGCTTTCTTGCATCTGCATTCCATGGGTCTAAATGCTCCCGGTGTGAACAGGGGTTAACAGACCATAAGTGTTCAAGCTCATGCTTCAAGGGAAGTAATATGTTGTAAAATACATGTGAGCTGCCAAAAATTGAGAGAGATTGAAAGCTGGATTTGAGCTGGACACATAGTTGGATTGGGAGATCGAGTTGGTCCTGGGAATCATCAAATGGATACAGAAACCAGCCTATTTTTTTCTGAGAAAGTGTGATTTGCTATTTTAGGATCAGGAACCATTCCAAATATGAGGTGAAGATTTGAGTTCTTTAGCAACTAAAACCTGGATGTGTTTGCCCTTAGTTCCTCCAGAAAGATTTGCAGCTCGGGTAGCATCTTGTGGTGCTCTAGATGCTACGCTTTTCTTGGAGAATATTCTGCTTTGAATTGCAGACCCGTTCTTTAAGGAAAAACAGTTTTCAAAAATTATCTTTAAAAAACTATCACTGAGATTTTAAAGGAAGGATATCCTAGATTTGTTTGTGCATTTTGTTATTTCATTAAAAAGCAGTATTTAAGTACAAGCAAATACAGCAGTTGATCACTTCATTTACAGTATATTAGGGAGATGCGGTGAAACACAACTAAGATCATGAGAGCTGCTGTGAGTCGAATCTCTTCTGAAGTACATTTAATTGATTTTGCTTGTAGCCTAATAGTTTGGTCATTCATTTTTATAGTATGTAGTTACAAGTTAGTAGGAAAAAGTAGAGCAGGAAACTTTGACAGAGGAAGCCTAGATATAAAGATAGATGGCACTGTTTCCGTGATTACCTAAGCCTACTTTTATGCTCTTATTTTATGTTACTGTCTTCATAGTGTGTTATAGTCTCTCGAGTATTTTAACATCTATGAATATTTCATTATTAGACTGTGGGGAATACGTTTGCCTCTATTAATGTGAGGGCCATTTACATTTATATATGTAAAAAAACCCCTTTTCAGAGTCAGAAGTTTGTAGGAAGAGTTCTGTCACGAGGCGTTGTAGCTGTTAAGTAAGTTGTAACGTACAGTTTCCCTGAAAATTCTGACTGTGCTTTCTTGTAGGATTGCCTTTCAAGAGCATTACATACTGAATGTAAGAGCAGAAGCTCCCTGATATACAAAGGTAATACTAAACAATGGTGCTTTAATGTCTTTTTCAGGGAAATTATATGCTAAAACTGTATCGTTCCTAAATTTATTTTAAGTGGGTTTGTATTTTCTCATTTTAAATAGTTAGACATTCTTGATCTGGGTTTTGTGGTATCTAGGAACCAGCCTGGGAATGTTGACATTCACATAAAGAGGACAAAGGATGCTTTAGAACAATGGTTCCCAACTTGTTCGTGTTTAAGTCCTGCTTGAAGTAGCTGGTGGCAGTCCACCTCATAATACATACATTTGGCTTTATTTTAAAGATACATATACATGTAATATTTAGAATGTCTTTGGGCTTCTTGAGAAATACATGTTGTTGGTGCATGCAGACAGCAGGGTAGAAGAATGTATTTATCAGACTGGTTGTAGAAAAAATTAGTATATGAAAGCAAGCTGTAAAACTTAAGAAAGACAAATACGGTTTGAAAACTAAAAAATTCTTCCTGTAGTTTAAGCTGTTATAATTGTTCATTCATTTGTCAGGCTGTGTCAGTGGGGGTTTTTTGGCACATGATTACATGGCAAACATTTCTAATAAGCCCTTGATGATTTCTCAATGTCAGCTTCTCAAATGCAAAATAAAATTGTTATAATTTTATATATTCCAGGTGACATGGACAGCTCACTGGAAAATACAAATGTTTCTTCATCCAAATGTTTTTTAGAGTCAGAATTTACTGAAAGTGGAAGAGAGAACATCTTCAGATCTAGTGATTTCCTACAAAGTTTTAAAGACTGGGATTGGTAAGAGGTGTTTTCTCTTCAACTCGCCTTTGTCATTTATTATCTCTTATAATCCAGATAAACCATGAGTAAATACGTTTGGATTGTATAGATCCAGAAGTTGTTTTAAGATTCTAGTTTTCTTGTTAAGTAAAGAGCTATTTGTGGCTGGTGTATGAAATAATGTGAATGCTGATTTTGATAAGAAGTACTGTCTCATTCACTTTCTAGTCTAATCCGTGTATGTTGGAATTGATAATGGGATACAGGGATGAGATAAACTGAACTAGGTGATACAAACCGAAGTAGGAGGAAAGCAAATAGCTCAGACTGATGAGCAGCTTTAAGATTATTTGGAGGTAATTTGATTCTAAAAGCCAAGAAATCTCTTTTCAAGGCTACTTTACACCAAATACAAAAAAATAATTTTAAAAAGGGGGTTGTATTTTTAGCTTTCCTTGAATTTGGTGGTTGGTGGTGAGAGAAGAGTGTTGGCTTTACCGGCTGCATACATGTGCTTACAGCATGAAAATTCAGGTTATTGCTACTACTTTTAAGTCAGCAGCTTTACTAATTGTTGTGGTTAAAATCTTGTGAGTAATAATGCCTTCCATCCAAATGATTTAACTCTGCTATTTGTTATCAGTCAAATATCAGAATCTTAAATCTTAAATTGAGCAATGTTTACATTTTTATTCAGACTTTTCTCAATGCTCTATATGTTAGCATGTTAGAAAGAGACTGAGTAATTTAAAATTATTGCTTTATTTTCTTTTCTTAGTTTTGATGATGAGCAGGATTCTTTTTGTGATTCAAGTGGTCTAGAAATAGAAGACAAGACCATTACTTGCTCTGAAACTGATGCAGTACAAAATACAGCTAGATACATGGAAGCAGGTAATAAATACTGAATTTTAAATATTTTTACAACTCTGTGTGAAGTATAGCATGTAATTTAAAAAACTTTCTAGTAATTGTATTTCTATTCAGTTCAGAAATTCAATAATCAGATAAAATGTATTTTAATTTGGGGATTTAACCTTTCATGTAAGTATGAGTAACTCCTTTAAAATTTGGTTAGGAGGTCTGGGCATACTTGATGCAATAGTAATATACATTTTAAAAAGAAAAATCAACCTTTTATGAAACTGGTTGCCAGCTGACATCATAATATAAATGAGGAAACAAGGTGGGTTTGGGGTTTTTTGTTTTGTTTTAAGTAGCTAGTTGCATTAACACAATTCTGCGAAGTCAAATGTCTTGTCAGTTTAAGGATGGAAAACTGGCAGTGGGTAGAGAGAGGGTGTTATCTGTTGTTCAGTTAACTCAGGAAATTCTAACTAGACAATTGTAGCAGCAACCAGCTGGCATTCATTCACTGCAAATGTTTGAAAATGCTGCTGCAAGTGGAGGAGTTTGTAAATCAATGTAGCTCTGCCTCTTGTAGAGAGTTTTAGGTTTAGAAAAACATTAATGTATTCTTTGGAAAGTGTATCTGGAAGTGTGGAGAGAGACAGCGAGCCAGCCAAGCCCAAAGTGGCTAAAAGGAATCTCAGAAGCCAGGTAGAACAGATCAGTGGAACTGTAATAGGCGCTCACCAAGAGCTGCATTAAATGGGCTGGAAGAGTGTAAGAACAGCTTTCTGAAAACACATTCTTTCTGAAAAGAAAAAACATAATTAATTGCACCAGGAAAAAGGCATTTTTACAGGATTTGGGATCAAAGGCAAAATAAAGACAAAACTCTGATAAATACCAAACATATTTGTTTCAGGTGACTACTTTTTTTTTCTGCTTTCTTTTCCCTTTTTTTTCTCTTTCTGTTATGATTTGTCTGGCACTGTACTAGGTATGCTCTTCTTCCTCACCCCTGAAGCAGACACACTAACAGAACAACAGGTTTGGTTTATTGTTCTGCTCCAGCTGTGATGGGTGATCAACCACAAGGCTGCCTAATACATGCCACCCATTAGCCCCGATTACATCATTTGCTTAATTAGTAACCTTTTTCCTGTTTCTTCTCATTGACATTTTCTCTTACCTAGTTGCCTGCCAAATAAACAACCTATCCCTAATTACTTTTTCCTCATAGGCCTGAGTTTTGCTACATCTGTACCTGTTGTGGTTTAACCCTCACAGACAGCTCAGCCCCGCACAGCTCTTTGCTCACTCTCCCCTCCCTGCTCCAGTAGGAAGGGAGAGAATCAGAAAGGTAAAAGTGAGAAAGCTTACGGGTTGAGGTAAATACACTAATAGGTGAAGCAAAAGCTTGGGTGTGCAAGCAAAGCAAAATAAGGAATTCATCCACTACTTCCCATCGGCAGGCAGGTGTTCAGCCATCTCCAGAAAATCAGGGCTCCATCACATGTAACAGTTACTTGGAAGGACAAATGCCTCATCTCTGAAAGTCCCCCCACTTCCCCCAGCTTTTATTGCTGAGCACGAGGTCATGCGGTGTGGGATGTCCCTCTGGCCAGCTGGGGTCAGCTGTCCCTGCTGTGTCCCCTCCCAACTTCTTGTGCACCCCCAGCCTCCTCGCTGGCAGCGGGTATGAGGAATAGAAAAGGCCTTGATGCTGTGCAAGCACTGCTGAGCAGTAACAAAATCATCCCTGTGTTATCAACACTGATTCTACCACAAATCCAAAATGTAGTACCATATGAGCTACTGTGAAGAAAGTTAACTCTATCCCAGCCAAAGCCAGCACAGTGACCAAGTCTGTATTTCTGATACTGTCACCTAGGTCATCCTGGCCTGATGTGGTACCTACGTGCAGTTGACCTTGCAAGATGTCTTTCCTCCAAAGATCCCAATACTTCAATTATCTGTGAATTTTGCCCATTTGACTACTTGTGAAATTCAGCCATTCCTTACTGTGCTGCCTGCAACTTTCATCAGCTTCTTACACTGTGATCTGTCATGTCTAGCAGTTTCTCGTGCTGTGTCCAGAAGTTTTTCTTAAGTCTTGACCTGTTAATTGTTAACTTCTGTTAACTAGGCCAAGGTCTAGTCAGCAATGAACCACATGCCTGAAGGAGATTTTGGCTACATTGTGATTCAGTCTGTGCATAGATTTCCTGCAGATATCTATGGGATTTCTATATTGAAGTGGAGGGCATAGATTTACTTACAAAACTCCACTGATTAATTCAAACAAGTCATGAACACAGCTTTGAGCAATTCTCCATAATTCTTTAGGAAATTGCTTTTTCATTTTGATACATCTTGCTCTATGCTTATCACACTAAATGTCTAAAGTAAAGTTTTGCTGCATTTTTAAAATTTTTAAATAAAATTTCACTGTAATTTTTTAATGTAATGTGTTTTTTCCTTCCATAGGCAGCGCCTTACCATCTCATTTTGCTGCGAATACACAAGAAAATAGTGACCAAAACATTACCAATGGTTTGGTAAGGAACATTGTGAGTGGAACTGATGCTCAAGCAAGCAGTCGTCAAGGCTTAATACCACCTCACATCAGTCAAATTTATGATGAATTATTTGTCATACATCAGAAGCTCCAGGTAGGAACTGGAATCACCTTAAAAATTTTGTTGAGTAATGTTATGAAGATTCTCACTTTTGACAGAGAATTCCGAAATTACTTTTATACTAAATCACTATTACTTCCATACTAAAGCTGTTACTATTACTTATACTAATCACAGTTACTTAGATACTAAAATTCTGTCATCATCTGCTTCTTCCCCTAAATTGAACCACTGATTTGGTAGCGATGCTTTGACTTGGCATAGTGGGTAGATTAGGTAAAATTCAGCTTGAGGGAGTTTGAACAGAGTGCTTCTACATCCAGGAGTGCCTTGTGCCGCACTGTGGGCCTGGAGGGAAACACCTGTGACCATTGCTTCTCCTGAGAGCATCTGAACCTGTTCTTCTGACTCTAGGCACTCGAGGGTGCTTGCCTTCATGGCCTCCTGTGCAAACCCTCCATTCTGCCTTATCTTTACTTTTGTGCTGCTGGGGAATCCCAGCGGTTCATCCCGTAGCAGGCCTAGGCCACTAACAGAAGAACCTCCTATATGATTTTATTCTGTAATAGCTCCCGTGCTTATGCTGGATTCCTTGCCAAGACTGTCTTTTGCAACCTATGAGATAAAATCATTTTGTATCTCTTTTTCCTCACCACTTTCTTGCGGACGCTTCCCACTAATTGAAGGAACAGTACGTTCAGTAGTGTTCAGCACAGACAGCCGCATCAGACTCTGTTTTGTCTTACAGTTAATAACATTATCCAAAACTTTTGGAAGCAAAAGCCCAAGTTTAATTGTCTAGGTTTATGCTTGAACAAGCATGCAGAGTTGAATTTTGTATTTTGGGAGGCCAAGCCACCCCAACGCACATTGAAGTCCTTTGGGTTAACATGTGGGGAAACTGAACATCCATAGCCATCAGGTAACTTTTCATTAGTAAGCTATTGTGTAACACTCTGTAATTTTACAAAAAGCTAAATATATCTCTGGGAGAGAAAATTCAAATGCGGTACAAATTGTGACAATTTCATGGGTTTAAAAGCCGTTTCAATATTTCTTTTTCTTGATACAGAGAGAAAGTTCAGCCCAGCAGGAGTATGCTCTGCAACTCCAGAAACGAGAGCATTTTCTAACAGAGCGAGAAGCGTTGGTTTTTAGACATGAAGCAGCTTTGGCTAAAATAAGAAGTGTCGAGGAAGAAGTTCACACAAAATTTGGAATTATAAAAGAGGTGCAGTGATATATTTATTGATGTTTATTGCTCTACATGCCATGTAACTTATCTGTAGTTATCTTAAGCAATTACATGTTTGCTGCATATAATGCTTATTTCTTGAAAGTGCTTGAAATCTTTGAATGAAAGGTTAACATAAAAAGTACCAGACAATACTGTTAGGGTTTTGTATGGCTTCTGTTTCAAAATGGTGCATTTAGTTGTCTGATGTGTAGGTACATTTTACTGTTACAATCTAGAAAAGAAGGTAACTTGTTTCTAAACTAGCAAAAAACATATGACTGGTATAACAGAAAAAATTGTGCTCTATCTGTAATTGTATGTGACTTAAACGAGTATTGTTGCATTAGCTGTAGCTGACGTAGATTTCCTTGGCAAGGCTTTAAGACACAATGAGATCTTGTGATATTACAGCTATTGCAGACAGCATTAGCAAAAAAGCACACAAAATTTCAAAGGAAGAAAAGATCAACCTAACGTTGAGGGTGTGGGAGGAAATGAATGGTATGATTTTGCTATAAGAAGAGGTAGTAATTAGCAACATTGTTCATGTGAGTGTTTGCTAGTGAATTCAGATCTTGTGAAAAGTTCTGGTTATTATCCAGAAGGTCACAAAGAAAAGCCCTTAAATATGTGTACTTTGTGTCAGAACCATAAGCTGAGAAATTTTGTTTGAAGTGTACAGATAAGACTTTCCCACAAGATGTTGAGGGAGCATAGACTACATGTTGAAAAGGAGAAAAGGGTGTCAGAGCAGCAGGACCTCAACTTTTGAACAGGGAAGGAATAGGTTGAGGTGTTAATTTAGATGTTTCAAATCTTCTGAGCTTATAAGAATGTTACACCAGTTAGAGAACTGACTGATGAAAACCCAGGAAAAATTAGTGCTTGTCTGTGAAAATTTGTGGAGGTCAAAAAGAGTGTTAGAAGACTATAAAAATGTGGTGCCTTTCTTTTCAAAAGGGAAAGAGTTGTACAGCCATCAACTTAATGTCAGTTCTCTAAATAAGTAAATAAATAGATCCGGAAACAAGCTGTGATCAAACCGTGGGAAACACAAAGCAGAAGACAATGCAATAAATAACTACTAGCATATGTTAATCATGAATTCTCAAATCAGTCTCGTTTCCACTACAGCAAGGTAACGGGCGTTGCTAATAGAGGAGTTGTAGTTATATATATGTCTGGTTTAATTAGCAATTTTTAATACAGGTTTGCATGGCATTTTCATAATCATATTGGGAAAGTATAACATAAATACAGTGCAGTTGGGGTAAAGCTGTAGTGAGACAGTAGTTCAGAGTAAAGTTGAAGGAATGTACATAGTGGATTCTGGGATATCTTTTCAGTCCAATATTCAGTATTTTCAGTAAGAAGTTTGATGGTGAGAAAGAGCACATTTATTAAATTTGAAGAAAAGAGCAAGTGAGGGGGAATTTCAAGCATGCTGAAAAAGAGCATTAGAATTAAAGTTGATCTTGACGAATTGAAGACATGGTGGGTCTGAAAAATTAGTATACTATTCAGAAGGCATGAGTGTACAGTATTGCATTTGAATAGAAATATCAGCTACAGAAATAGAGGATTGTGACTGGATGCATGGCTTAAACATACAGGATGAATTGAGGGTGAATATTCCAATCTTCAGCTACATAAAAGGCTGCAACAAAGCGGGAGAAACAATTTTTTTTTATGTCTGTGATAGAAGAAGTAGTAGTAGTAGTAAGGGAAAATAGGTTACGTATTAGGAATAACTAGATCTAAGAAAAATAGTTAAACATGTGAACAGGTAGATTGGTAAGGCTGCAGTGTTTCCAGTATTGGAGGACTTAAGAACAGATTAGCAAACACCTGTCAGGAGTGAAATGGTATAGTTGGTTATGATATGGATGACACCGTCTGATCTGATTATGAAAGTAGACTGCTTAGACACCCTGGCATGACCTACAACCCTATGGCTTAACAACTGAGTTGGTTCTACTTACCTTTTAGATTTTTCTCTACTGATAATTCCCAGAGGAGCTACTGAACTTCAAATAAAGGTCTTAACTATGTATGTAGAAAATGGAAGTGAAACATTCCGTATGATGTGATAGGGTGCATTCAATTACATGTTGGCAGCGTTGGCATATTTATTGATATAAGAAGAGGATCTGTCATTTCATACAGACGAGAGGACGCAGCCTCAAGTTGCACCAGAGGAGGTTTAGATTGGCTATTAGGAAAAATTTCTTCACCAAAAGAGTTGTCAAGTGTTGGAACAGGCTGCCCAGGGAAGTGGTTGAGTCACCGTCCCTGGAGGTATTTAAAAGCTGTGTTGATGTGGCACTTAGGGCCATGGTTTGGTGGTGGACTTGGCAGTGCTACATCAACGGTTGGACTCAAATATCTTAAAGGTCCTTTCCAACCTAAAATGTTTCTATTCTTTGTTGTCTTAGGCAAGTGTGGGGTAGGTGCTTTGGACAAGGATGTCCTGCCCACAGCTGTTTTGATGCTATTGACTGAAGAGCGGTCTTTGAGGACAAGAGTAACTATAGATCATTGTCCTGTGTACCTGGAGTGGAAGTTACTGAGCTTCCAGACATAAATACAAAGAAGGATCTCTTCAGGGTTTGCATCTTTTAAACTTCTGCTGTGTCTTATTTTTGTCATTTGCACATGTAGGAAGACAGGATGTGACTGGAAATGGAAAAGTAGAGAATGATTGGGTGAATGAGTGAGGAATAGTGACTAGGGGAGAAATGAAAGATAGTATATAGAGCTGGAGTGTTTTCAGTAAATTAAAACTTTGCTGTTTTATCAAATTTGAGGTATTTAGAGATGCACTGGTGTCTGGTGCCCCAAGATTAAATATAAAATAAGACTCAGGGGAAAGAGAAGAATGGCAGTGGATATGCAGGTAGTAGTTAACAATTCATATGCCTGTGCTGTAAACCAAAGCTCTAGTCTATGAGGCATAGGATTAGTTTCTTGCTCTGCATGATTCGAAGTGAGCAGAGCCAGAAAAACTAGTTGAAACCTCAAATGCTGCTACAAAAACATAGGCTTGCCCAGCTGGTGAAGAGGGCTTTAAACTGAAGTTGCCAGGGAAGGGTGAACCTCAACCCATCCCACTCTCACCAGTTTGATGCCAGTGCCAGCAATAGATGTCCAGAGCCTGGAGAGGGATCACAGGTCAGCAGGAGAGCACCTGAAGAGCAGCACAAGGGAATTCCAGCCAGTCAGTCAGCTTCATCGGGGCCCAGCTTAAATGCCTCTGTGCAGATGCACACAGCATGGGGAATACACACGAGGAGTTAGAGACGCGCACACACCTGTAGGGCTGTGATCTTATCGGCATCGTGGAGACATGGTGGGATGGCTCCTGTGGGTGGAGTGTCGGAATGGAAGGGTACAGGCTCTTTAGGAGGGACAGGCAGGGGAGATGAGGAGGGGTGGTCTCCCTCTATGTCAATGACCAGCTGGAGTGCAGGGAGCTCCGCCTGGGGATGGATGAGGAGCCAAATGAGAACTGATGGGTCAGGATTAAAGGGAGGGCAGGGACAGGTGATGTTATAGTGGGGGTCTGCTACGGGCCACCCGACCAGGAAGGCCAAGTAGATGTGGTGGTCTTTAGACAGGAGCAGCCTCACATTCACAAGCCCTGGTCCTCAAGGGGGACTTCAACCACCATGATTTCTGTTGGAGGGACAACACAGCAGGGCATAAGCAATCCAGGAGGTTTCTGGTATGTGTTGATGGTAACTTCCTTCTCCAGGTAATAGAAGAGTCAATAAGGAGAGGTGCTATGCTGGGCCTTATTCTCACCAATAAGGAGGGGATGGTGTGGAGTGTGAAGCTCTCTGAAGGGCAGCCTTGGCTGCAGTGACCATGAAATGGTGGAATTCAAGATCCTTAGGTCAGTGAGGAGGGCGCACAACTAGCTCACTACTCTGGACTTCAGGAGAGCAGACTTTGGCCTCTTCAGGGATCTACTTGGTAGAGTAGCATGGGATAAAGCCATAGAGGAAAGAGGGGCCCAATAAAGTTGGTTAATATTGAAGGATCACCTCCTCCAATCTCAGGAGTGATGCATCCCGACAAAAAGGAAGTCAGGCAAAAATTCCAGGAAGCTTGCATGGATGAACAAGTAACTCCTGGACATTCTCAAACATAAAAAAGAAGCCTACAGAGGGTGGAAGCAAGCACAGGCAGCCTGGGAGGAATGCAGAGAATCTGCCCAAGCAGCCAGGGACCAGGTTAAGAAAGCCAAAGCTCTGATAGAATTAAATTTGTCCAGGAACATCAAGGGCAACATCAGTGATAACAGGAAGACTAGGGAAAACATGGGCCCTCTCCAGGAGTTAACAGCAGACCTGGTTACCTGGGATATGGAGAAGGCTGAGGTACTCAATGACTTTTTTGCCTCATTCTTCACCAGCAAGTGCTCCAGCCACACCGCTCAAGACACAGAAGGTAAAGGCAGGGACTGGGAGAATGAAGAACCGCCCACTGTAGGAGATTGGAGTCGAGACCATCTAAGGAACCTGAAGGCACTCAAGTCCATGGGACCTGACGAGATGCATCCACAGGTCCTGAGGGAACTGGCAGATGAAGTGGCTAAGCCACTATCCATCGTATTTGAGAAATTGTGGCAGTCCAGTGAAGTTCCCCCTGACTGGAAAAGGGGAAACATAACCTCCACTTTTAAAAAGGGAAAAAAAGGAAGACCCGGAGAACTCCAGGCCAGTCAGTCTCACCTCTGTGCTGGGCAAGGTCATGAAGCAGATCCTCCTGGAAACTGTGCTGGAGCACGTGGAAAATAAGGAGGTGACCGGTGACAGCCAGCATGGCTTCACTAAGGGCAAATCGTGTCTGACAAATTTGGTGACCTTCTATGACAGATTTTACAGCATTGCTAGGTAAGGGAAGAGCAACTGGTGTCATCTACCTGGACTTGTGCAAAGCATTTGACACTGTCCTGCCTGACACCCTTGTCTCTAAATTGGAGAGACAGGGATTTGATGGATAAGGAATTGGCTGCATGGTTGCACTCAAAGATGTCACACTGGTGGTCAGTGGTTTGATGTCCCAAGTGGAGAACAGTGACAAGTAGCGTTCCTCAGGGGTTGGTATTGGGACTGGTGCTGTTTAACATCTTTGTCAGTGGCATGGACAGTGACATTGAGTGCACCCTCAGCAAGTTTGGTGATGACACCAAGCGATGTGGTGAGGTCAACACGCTGGAGGGAAGGGATGCCATCCAGAGGCACCTTGACAGGCTTGGGAGGTGGGCATGTGCAAACCTCGTGAAGTTCAACAAGGCCAAGGGCAAGGCTCTGCACATGGGTGGGGGCAATCCCAAGCACAAACACAGGCTGGGCGATGAGTGGATTGAGAGCAGCCCTGCAGGGAAGGACTTGGGGGTGTTGGTTGATGAGAAGCTCAACATGACCAGTCAGTGTGTGTTTGCAGCCCAGAAAGCCAACCATATCCTGGGCTGCACCAAGAGAAGTGTGACCAGCAGGTCGAGGGAGGGGATTCTTCTCCTCTAATCCGCTCTCGTGAGACCCCAACTGGAGTGCTGTGTTCAGCTCTGGGGCCCCCAACATAAGAAGGACATGGACCTGTTAGAGTGGGTCCAGAAGAGGACCACAAAGATGCTCAGGGGGCTGGAGCAGCTCCCCTGGGAGGCCAGGCTGAGAGAGTTGTGATTGTTCAGCCTGGAGAAGAAAAGGCTCCGGGGAGACCTTATAGCGGCCTCTGGCACTTAAAGGGCGCCTATAGGAAAGCTGGGGAGGGACTCTTTATCAGGGAGTGTAGGGATAGGATGAGGGGTAACAGTTTTAAACTGCAAGAAGGTAGATTTAGGTTAGATCTAAGGAAAAAATTCTTCTCTGTGCAGGTGGTGAGGCACTGGCACGGATTGCCCAGAGCAGCTGTGGGTGCCCCCTCCCTGGAAGGGTTCCAGGCCAGGTTGGACGGGGCTGGGAGCCCCCTGGGCTGGGGGAAGGGGGCCCTGCCCGGGGCAGGGGGGTTGGATCTACATGGTCTTTCAGATCCCTTCCAACCTAAACCCTTCTATGAAAATAGAATCACAATTTTTTGTAATTAAATGGCAGAAGAAGCTGTAAATAAAATCTTTGTCACTGGTTTTAATTCACAAACATTTCCTACGTGTTACTTGTTTGAGAAATGTACATATTGATACAACGTATTTTGGGTAGAATCTGGAAAGAGTAAGAGCAGTAAGCTGTGCTCCGTTTCTTTATGGATTCTTCTTAATATGCAGTGTGGATGTTGTTTTTCTTACTACTTGTTAAATGTGCAAATGTGCAGAATCACAAACTTGATCTTTGAAATTATTTTAATGCTAAAATGGAACTTAGCTTAGAATTGTTTCTGAAATAGTTTCTTATAAATCATGTTTTGAAATTTGATATTTCTATAGCAACACAAGGTGGAAGTTAAACAGCTGACAGAAGCCTTGAGAGAAATAACTAAAGAAAATAGGAGGCTGAAGTCATCATTTGACACCTTGAAGGAAATGAATGACTCTTTAAGAAAACAGGTACAATTAGTTATTTCCTGTTATCAATAGTTTTACAAGTTAAAGACAACAATTTTAAATATTTCAAGAGCTTATTTGCAAAATTACTGGTTTTTTGTTTCTGTAAAACAGGAGTTGTATGAATGACTGGAAGTACTTCCCACACCTTTTTCTAGTACTTGAAATGTAGCCTTTCTGATCTTTTACAGTATAAAAAAAAAAGTTGGATTTACCCCTTCTTACAGCTGGTTGTTGGGAAGGACAAATCCATGCCCTCTCTGAAGCAAATGGAAAGCAGACGAGAGAAAGTATTTTATGACATAATTGAATCCACCCTGTGCTGGATTGCTGTGCTAATTCTATTAAATAAAAAGTAGCAAGTGTATTTCTAACTTCATGTTTGCTCAGTATTTTCAGTTATTTTTGCAAATGTTAATTAAGACAGTATTTTCTCAGGTCTTAAACTGAGACAGTGGTTCATAATAATACAGAGAGTGAGAATTTTCATCTCACTTGACTGTTAAGTCTGACTTAAAATGCTGACACACAAATTGCTATCTAAACTATTTGACCTTTGTTTAGTCATTGAATTAATTACAGTTCTATAAATAAAATAAAAATCTACAGCAGAGCCTTATTCTCTCTTCTCGAGAATGTCAGACCTAACTCCTAGAATGTTGATGGTTCTGGTGCAACCCATCTGTCTATTTCCCATCACTATAATAATCTTTTAATTTCTGTGCAAACTGAGGGCTTCTGTGATAGTTATGCTGTTCATTGTTGTATGCATAAAGCATATTTCTCATGTTTTAATGGAGGTTACAGTTTCCCTCATCTTGTCTCAGAGCAAACTGGTTTTGTAGCATGGTCAGTAACTGTTTCATTCTGCAGAGAAGAAAGCTTTCACCCTCCTCATTAACAAGACTGTTGGCCCATTCTTGGTATGTGTGCTCCACTTTTATTTCACTTCTTCATGAAAAGTATTTAAATGTGTAGTGCCTGGGTGTCTAGAATAGCACTACAGAGCTTATTCTTTCCCTGCAAACTGAAAGATTGGGCTGTAGGTCAACAAAGAGCTACTGCTGTCTTATTTATCCTGGAACAGGTTGCCCAGAGAGGTGGTGGAGTCTCCAGCCTTGGAGATAGATACTCAGAAGCTTACTGGACATAGTTCTGGGTAGCCAGCTCTCAGTCACCCTGCTTGAGCTGGGGGGTTGGACCAGATAACCTCCAGAGGTGCCTGCCAACCTTAACCAGTCTGTGATTCTGTCATTTATTGAGGAGGTGGATGATGATTTTGTTTCTATCGCTTCACATGCTCAGAAGAAAAAACTTGAATTTAAATAGTTTAGCTGCTCAGCAACCACATCAGAATATTTCAGTGTGATAAGTCAAGAAGTGAGTTTTGAATTTACAGATACTTTAATGTTTTCTGTTTCTTGCAGTTAAGTGAAGTAACTGAGCTGAATAAGAAGCTGGAAGGTCAAGCAAGGAAAGTACAAGCCCGTTTAGAGAATCTACAAGTAAGTTTTGTTCTTACATGTGCCTGCTTCCTTTATAGGTATCAAGCGAAATATAATTCATTTTTACATTTTGTTTTAGAGGAAGCATGAATTTTTAATGGTACAGAAGTCTAAGGATATATGTCAAGTGGTGCAACAAAGTAAACCTGTCAAGCAGGAGAAAGTGATGGTAACATCAAAAATTGCTAAGGTAAGAATTGAGCAAAATGGAAAATTTCTTCAAAAGACACTAGGTGGTGAAACATTCTGTATGTATCTGCTAGAAAACGTAACTTCCAGTTCTATTTTATGAGTGAATTAGCTACAGTGAGAAAAGATACAGATTCTATTGGGAGAAAACAGGCAGTTAACAAAGAATTAAGCTCTTTGTTAAAATTAAGTCTGTTGGATTTCATATTGTGTGCGTATGTAGTATATGTATATATTCTTATTTATGTGCTATGTTTTCATGTCACATCATCTTTCATCTGTCAATTAAAATTATAACCAGGTTACACTGTAACTGGTTTCTTTAGCTGTGTCAGAGCAAATCTTAAACTCATTCTGGTTACTGCTTACAGTACAGCATTGTTCTTAGGAATACCACCAGCTAAAAAGTAGTCAATCAGAAGTATAAGATAAAGAATTTGAATTTTCTAAGCCAAAAGTGATTGTACTACTGTTATTTTTTTGAGAAATAGTCTTTAATGAGGGAAAGAGAATAAATGCAGTGTTCATACACAGTTCCAAAACGATCACCTTGTTTTCCTTAAAATATCTTCTTGCATCACTTAATGAAATCCTTTCTGTCTCCATGTTGTTCCGTTTAGTAGCAAGTCTTCTGGTAATGCTTTGCCAACATCTCCCAGCTGATAATGATTTTCTCCAGCTAGAGGCTAAACTGTCAAATGGGAAAGAGATATTCACACCATCCTACATAATTAATCTACATCAGATGCCTTAAAACTGTGCTGTCTTTATATAGCCAACGTATTTCTCTGTTGACATAGGTTTTAGTGTACTTTGGTTGCAAGTGAAATGTAAACAGTATCAGGAGTTAGAATTCTGAGTGAAAACAGTTATCTGAAGGCAGATACCAGAAAACTTTTGAAGTCTTTAGAGAACAAGTACCTCTGGGTATCTTTCATAGAGTATTTCATTGGAGTGTAATACAGGGACGGAATGACAACTTGATGAAGTCTTTGTTCTTTTCTAGCAATGCTAGTTACCCAGTTAAATTTTAGCAACAGTGGATTTTATGAAATAAAGCAAAGGAGGTCTAGCGCATTGAAATAAGAATTCCCACATGCAAAGGACATTAAAGATTTGTTTTCTCCTCTAATTCATTTGGTGAGAATTATAAAACTGAGTGATTCTGTACGTGAAAATCTTTTCCTCGGGCCTTTCATAACCTTTTTTCTAAGTACAAAATAAATGATGTACATACTTTTTCACACCCAGAAACCATCACAAATAGTACCTGTTCTGCAGTGGGGAAGGGAGGTGTGTGAGAGAGAGAGAAATGATGCAGGGTTCTTTCTGGATCTCTGTAAGAAAGGTCTGACAACAAATGTTCTAATGAAGTAGCTGTTTTAATATGACAGAGTAAGAGGAGGAATATAGATAGAGAGTAAGTCTTACGTCTCTTCAGATCCTGGGAACCTTGCATATGTGCAGCATCCAATAGATCCCTGGTAGGTTTTTCCCAGGGTTCACTGAGCAGGTCCTGTCTGTGAGAGAAGCTCCTCCTTTTTGGTCATTCAAGCTGTTCTATAGTTTTCTTATAAGAAAACAACTCTATTCTTGAAGGACACTCACAGGAGAACTTCTCGTTGCCCTTTTAGACAAAGGCAAGGCCAGGCAGGAGGCGTGATCGCCAATAGCAAGCGGGAGCTGCCTGCAGGCCTCTGTTACAGTGAGCTGGCTGAGTTTCTCCAGTGGCCAAGCACAGGATAAACTGTACAGCTGACTGATCTGTGCAGCACAGCACAGGCTCTGCCCACTCAGATTAGCTGGGATGTGAGTCTCTTCCCTCTTCAGTGTACGGTGCTCTCTGGGTCAGGATCACCACCTGCCACCCCTTGATCTACATATAGTTTACCTTTTCCAGAGATACTATAAATTACAGGTTATATTAATAACATACAGTCTTCTCAAACCCTAGGTACAAAGCCCAACAGAGCACACATAGCCTGTTCAAGATCAGCTCCCAGTAAAGTAACTTACCTCCCAGATTTTATCAGGCTTTATTTTATCATATTTTATCATCCTTTAAATCATGCATAATATTTCACAACTAATGTACTTGCATATATTTCAGTCTGTTACTATTTTGGCTTTGAAAAATCATTAACTTGAAAGCTGAAATATCTGATGGGTGGTTTTACTACAGCTACCATTGAATTCACAAGTTTATGAGCTCTTAACTTTACTTATGGACTGGATCTCAGACCAGCACCTTAGCAAAATAAAAATACAAGAAGAAAGAGAGGACAGTCATAAACTTCTGGTTACCCAGACCTCCAAAAAAACCTGCACCCAGGAAAGGTGTATGAAGGTAAGGGCGTTTAGACTGTTTTCTTCTGTTAATGTGTTTTCAGATTTATGGAGGTTTTAAAATGATTCTGAGAATATAACAAGTCAGCCTGTTTTATATGTTCTTTGGATACAGTAATTAAAACAAAATCACCATTAATAAGTCCATATTCATTCCAGCAGTGAGATACAATACATAATTTATCATTTGTAAAGCATATAGTTAATTTTTAAGGAAAAATGTAGTGTTCAGTTTCAACTTGAGAGTTTCAGCATTTTATTTCAAGTCACTTCTGTCAGTTGATATTTTTGTCTTGTGTTTTATGTGTAGTACTGTACATAATTCTTTTTTTCTAAGGAGATGAACGTGTCTAATTTAAAACATTTTGATGCCTATATGAGATATTAAAGTTTCAATTTATGACTGATAAAAGGTGATACTGTGTTATACTTTTAACAATTTTTTTGTTTTCTTCCTGGGAATACCAAAGTTTGAAAATCAATGAGGTGTTCAGAAAAATCTTATTTTACTGTTTTTCTTCTTTATATTAAAGATTTATAGCCATTGGAAACTGATTTACTGAGATTGATCTCACATGTTGTATCTCCACTTTTGCATGTAAATGTCTGTAAAATTTAAGATCTGTATATGTGTATAATTCTGTTACCTGTACTGGATCTGCTCGGTGAGTATTTGCATATGTAATCTGTTAAACACCAAGAGAAAGTTGGGAGTTTTGTTTGTTCGTTTTTCACTTATGGTTAGCTTATACACTAGTTTCATTTACTCCATGTAATTTTACTTTTGTATATTTTTACAGCTTTTGCCTATAGCTATTGAGCAGCTCCAGTGGATGCCATTTGTGAATCCTAAACTACACATGCCTGTGATTAAATTTATTTACTGGTCTATAAGGCAGCTAGACACTGGTATTCAGGTAAAACAAGTAGTCCTTTTGTAGCATGTTTTTTTTAAAACTAAATTCATAGAAGATACTAATGGATTTTGTGTTATAGATACGTGTTAAAAGTCGATGTTTTTCAGGTAGTACACATAAAAGAAACTCTGCTGTCTTTGCAAAGCATGGATTCATAGTGTTTATCACAGATAGGTGGCAAATGAAAAAATAAATTCGTTTTCAAGTTAAGTTTAGATTTTGCATTGTGTATCTAAACAGTTTTCATAATTATATGATCTCTGTTGTGGTGTCTAAGCATCTCAGAAATTATATTCTTATCTATGTATTTACAAAACTTTTGCACTAGAAAAGGCAATATTTTTAGGTTTACTTTATGCATGAAAATTGTTGAAATTGATGGAAGTGTGTCACAAAGCAGTGGAGGAATTTTGATTTTTCTGTTCTCTGCTCAGTGTCTAACCATGAGATATTCCTTAGTCCTTTGACTAGACTGCTATAAGAAAATATTTAGCAGTATAATAAAGAAAAAAGGCAGTAGCCCTACTGTAAAGACTCAGTATAGGGCACAGTGCTGTCAGTAGTACTTTTGCTAAAGCAAAAGGTAGGAAACTTTGTAAATATCTTGAATTTAAATTCAGTAGAATAATAAGCTGTTATTTTTGGTGCTATTAAACTGTCTTTTAAATTAGCATATTGTGAAATTTGATTCTGAAGTAATATTTCTGTATAGTTTATGACAAAAAATCTAATAGATCTTATCTGGACAGTGTTCTTAAGGTTCATGTTTAGACCTTGATTCTGTAAATGCTTTTACCAGACGACTCCAGGCAACCTTTCAAAATGGAATTGACTGAAGCTGAGCTTGTTCTGGAACCAGAGGCAACTTAAATAATGTCAGCATATCAGGGGACCTCACTAACTAGTCTCCCTGTGAAGTATGTGTTGATAACGTGCCGTGATAAATGGTGTTCAGTTGCTTTTGGAACACAAAGTAGTACCTCCTATACAGATTATATTCCTATATATGGTCAAACTAATTGCTGTTTAATATTGAATTACTAGGGGAGCATACATATCTCTATATAGTACACAGGAATTGAATGTGTTTTAATGTTTATGCTGTGTGCCTTGTTTGAAACAGCATGCAACAATGACAGCAACAATGAGGAGACTTGGCGAAGGTATTTTTAAAGGCATAGTAAGTAAGAGAAACCCACATAGTTCTTCTGACCAGTCTACAGAGAGTAGATCAAAATCGGCAGCTTTCTTCAAGAGTTCCTGTATGCCTTTGAGGTTTCTGTCAACTTTAATTGTGCTTAAAACAGTGACACAAGGCAAGTTCTGATTTTTTCATATTTATTTATTTATTTATTTCAGTCATGTGCCTGGACAAAAAACATTTCAGTGATCCTGTAGGGTCTGCTCTGCTTTATTAGTGAAAAGTGTGGTTAGTTGAGCTTTACTACCTTGTGAAGCAAAATATACTGGAAGCAAGTATAAATCTTGCTATTATTAATTTCATGTTGGAATTTGTGTTCCTTTTAATACGATGACTACTTTGTCATCGTATTAAAAGGATGTGATGTCAGAGAGATCAACATTTCTGAAGAAGGGGAAAACAGATCTTGGTAATTCTGTGAAATTGTCACTATAGCAGTGACTGGATTGCCAAGGTCTTAACTGCATAGAATGGCACAGCTGGTTGCTCTTTTATAAACTGAAAAAAGTAGCAGGTTTTACACAGTTCTAGAATTTCACTGTCCTGTTTAAGCTAGTAAGTAGGTTGTTTACCTTTCCCCGGAAGGCTGCTCAGCTGCAGTGTCAAGTGTTTCTTTTCTGACGTAGTTACAACTTTACTGCATTTATCTTTATAGATAAATCTGTTCATAGGTATTTCTGATGTATTTGTAGTCACACAGAGAAAGCCACTTGTGTGGTGGATTATAATTGTTAGATTGAACTGTGACGCAATGTAAGTCCTGAAATTGCTTTCCCTTGGTCTGAGTTTAATATACAGTTCATACTCCAGCCCTTACCTGCCTGCTGCTCCCCTCTTCTCCTACTAGGCCTGGCACTGCAAATGGCTACCCATAAAACATTATCAACATCAAAAACTGCAACTCTATGAAATTGTCAGTTCTTTATATGATTGTCCATTTGGATTCCACTGTTAGACTCATTTACAAAAGCACCATGTTCTGTTTAAGTAAAAATGTTTTAGACTTCAAACCCACCTGTCTAGCATGAAAAGTGGCCTTTCTACCCAAAATCTTCCAAAATTCCTGTGTTGATGTATTATGGTAATGTACTTGGTTAACAAGGCAAAAGCAAACAAGGTCTTATCAGGAGATAAACAACTCTGAAAATAGTGACTTCTGCTTCAGATCATGACGGGTTACTTCACTTGTGCAGTTTTCAAGATGCTGTGGCAAATCTCCTCAGTGGGGCCTTCTTTGGAAACATATGATCTGAAAAGACAAAAACATTTTGTTTGATGACAAAATTGAACTGTTTCTTGTGAGCTCTGAGGGTCGAGCACACTATAAGAAGAGGCACAAACTCAGATTTTTAATGCTTTCCTTCCTTATCCTTCCGATACAGAGATTGGTGTACACTTTTCCGTCAGAACCCAGAGAAGAAAAACCTTCAATTGATCTGATATATAGAGATTTTTTAAAATTAACTTACAGATTAACTTTGGTAATTTATATAAAATCTTACCTATTTCTAATTTATATATGACTTCTTTGAAAACTTCAACAGTAGTATGTAATCTGAATTATGCTCGAAGGTTCTTAATTCATAAATCTGCAGATTTGATGAGTAATCCAAAAGAATGTTTTATTTTGACTTTTATTATTAGCATTCTCTTTTGTCTTGTTTTAATTCAGTAATGGCTTCAACGATTTCTATGAAGCAATTTTGTTCACCTATGCAAAAAAAGTCAGTCAGCATAAAAGCAGCAGAGTTGATAGGTCCCCTCTGACTTCTAAATGCAATATAATTGCCACATATTATCCAGTTGAGCTTCTGACTATATAAAGACTAGATTTCTTTGGAAAATAATGTATGGAAACTACTATTTCTTTGAAAAAAAAAAAAAATCAAATATCCTCTTAAACTATAGCCCAGACAGTCTTAAATGCCTGTTAGGGGCTTATTGTATCTGAAACAGCTCATGCTTCTGCATTTGTTAACCAAAAAGAATGAGGAGAGATACGTAGGGGGGTATCACAGGGTGAGTGACTCTCACTGTGAGTTTTTTCCTATTTTCACTTTGTTCCCAGGATCCTCCCACCTTTCACACTAGCAAATATGTATAATAGTAGTATACAGTAGAATTCTCTACTTAAAATCTATATAATTTTGTGTTGGCAAAGAAATAGAGAAAGTTGGGTCATCCCTGCCTCATGGGAGAGGGAGAAGGTGAAGGTAATGGTTTCAAAGTAGACACTACAAGTCAACAAGAATCAGGTTGTGTCTGGACAGGATGAGAAAAAACTGTAAAATATTTCTCAAAGAATACAGTAACTTTTCTCTCAGCTGATTTGTTAACTGCTGCCTTCAGTTACGAAGCCTTTTCTCTCTTCAAGGGAAATAGAGAACAAGGGGTGTTGCAGATCCTTTTTATGGAAATCAGGCAGAAAAAACTAATTATATACCATTAAGAGCAGGTATAAGAAGTGATTACTGACTACCCGCAGCAACTCAGAAGTGCTGTAGTTCTACATAATTGAGATTTTCTGGAAGAATAAGTTTTACAAGGATAGCATAAGAATTAATGTATCTATAACCCTTTTCCAACTCTTTGTGATAGTAACCATTTATTTTTCCCTTGTCAAAGGCATTTTAAAAGCACAGATCATTTTGATAGCAAATAATTGTTCAGTGGGGTTATGACTGAGCAATCTAACCTAACGTCAGAGATGGTCCTGCTTTGAGCAGGAGGGTTGGACTAGATTCCAACCGAAGTTATCCCATGATTCTATTTTTTCTATCGTTTGTTCTCAGAAAGGTTTGTTTTTTAAAATGCATTTGCTAGTAACACATCTCCTCTGCTGGTAACTCAGGGAGATGGAGACAGGTTACAGAGATGTTAATTTTCAAGGTAATCCTGAAAAAACATGCCAGAATGTCAGAATCAGATGCCTACTTTGGCATTTTTTTCAGTCTCTTGAAATATCTTATGAATTTTGGGCCACTTCTTAGCAGAAATCCACATCACAAAAGTGCTGCAATCTCTGGCACCCTCCCTGACACTAAACAGGGATGCCAAAGATTGTAAATCCATAGATAATGAACAGTGTTCTTGTTCACGGAAGTCATCCTTCTGGACTAGATGGTTAAGCAGATTAGTATGTCTTTATGCTTAGCTGACCTGTGTAGTATTTGTATTGTGAGTATTACAGTAAACACAGGGTTTAAACATGGTGGAAGACTAGCCTGACATCATTAATGAACAAATTTCAACTGTTGAATGGAACAATTTCAGCGAAGATATTTTGGTGAAGCATGATAATTACTCTTAAACTGAGACTCACATGTTTAGAAATGTTTGATAAAAACAATGCAAAACAAATTATAATTCATAAAATAATTATTGCAGGGACTTGTCCTAAGCAGATGAACGCTCTTGATTAGATTGAATCAGTTTAGCTTTTCATAGTTGCTTTTTCCTGCTGGCTTCTATAACATGTAAAATATGATCTCTTGTTAAACATATGTCGAATATCACTGTGTATGAATTTTGATCACTCTGACCACATGGCACTAATGACCTAGTGATAAAGTAGCACATTTGGTTTGAACGTATATCCCATTTCCTTCAAAATGTCAGTATCCAGCAGATGGCACCATAGTTAAATTTTTGCTATGGGATAAATTGTTTCCTTGTACTTAATTTTCTGCCCTCCAGATGATCAATGCTATTCCAGGATACTGAGAAAGATTTGACATCAAGAAGTTAAGAAATTTAGGTTGGTTCACTCAACCTACATTCTTCATATAATTTAGTACACAGTGAATGAGTATACACAATGTATGCACTGAAACTTAAACTACAGCTTTTTATAGAAAGGAATGGGTGTAGTTGCTCTCATGAAAGTAATTGCTCGTATTCAGACAGATCAGCCCTCGACTCCTTTAATAGAGGTTTTCCAGATGTTGAAACCAACCTTGTCTCAAACTATGCAAGCTTGTAATTTCTTTCCTTTTAAGCCAAATATTAGAAAAGCTTTATATTTGAAAGTATATTTTTCTTCAACATATGAGTTGTAATTAGTCTTTTTCTCCACTCACAACAAATCAAGGAATAAAAACAGGCAGAGGATGTCTTTAAATAAAAATAAAATGTAATATTTTCAGCCATCTAACTTTTAAGTATATATCTGCAACAGTAACTCTCAGTATAGTCGCTAACATATTGCTTAATGGAACTATGATTATGAAAGTTTTGTTGCTTGTATTCTGATATCTTTCAGTGGATTACCTGGCTCAGGCATTTGATTCCCTTCACATAGACTTGAAGACAGATGAAGGGAAGGCCTTATTTTTGGAATACCAATGCATGCCTGTCATATTAAGTCACTTAAAAGTATCCAGCAGAGGTCTGCTTTCCAGTGCTCTTGATGGATTACTTCAGATGACCATGGGATCTGGTAAATATGCATAATTAAAAAAAAATATATCTAAAATCGTGATGAAAAAAGGTGAGGTAAGCATAAATACAGTATAAATATAGCATGATTCTTCTGTGTAAATAATCTAATCTAGTATTGTCATTCATTTGTATCATGTAAATTCATTAGAGATATAAAATGTATTTCTGAATTGTCTGAGTCTTTGAGTTGTATTGGCTTTTCTTCTCCCTCTCAGCACCTATGCTTTCTGAGTTGTCCTGGTTGCTTTCTTTTTAATGTCTGTGAATTTTTTTGTTGCTGTTTCTGGTTTTGCTTTTCACTTTATTTCACTCTTGTATCTTGCTGATGTTTTTCTTTGAAGTCAGGCTGAGCCAGGGAAGCCATATCATGAAAACCTCCCAGCAGGTGGAGATAAAAAATAGGCTTTATTTAAATTATTTTTCTAGCTTTAATGAACAACTCATCCCCAATAATTTTTCAGTTTCTAATAATTGGATATGGCATTTTTAGAAGAGCTGGTCATGTTTTGCTGAATTTTACTGTGCTGTGGCCCTCTAAGAGGGTTAATAACCTCATTTGTCACAGCACTTTTGCAAGTGATACAGGCTAAGAATCAGTTGATAACCAGCTGGATGAACATGAAGGTAGTGAGGCATTCCAGTGCCATGTTGAATAAACTTTGTGACTGTTTTTTTTTTTAAATATAAAAATCACTTACTGCCTTTTAGAACAGAAAAGGGGACGGGGCTAGTGCTCTTCTGAAATGTGTATTGTTATTTTGGAAGTATTTTGTTACCATGAATTGTAATGGTAAAAATAGAATGCATGTTTGACTTGGCATGGAAGAGCATTGAGTTAAAAGCCATTTTGTTGCGACATAAGTGGCAGAAATATTTAACTGAAGTTTTATTCTTTCTTGCAGATTCTTTTTCTGACCATGTAGTTAGTGTTGTCTTACACTAAAGTATTCTTCCTAATAGTCATAACTATGATGGGTAAAGTGATTGGGAAAGAGAGAGTTCTACACACAAAACTAACCTAAGCAATGTGTATGGTGTCTTCTATTACTTTGGGTAATGACACTAACAGTACATTTTCTGTTACCTAGCAGTAGTCATTCTGACAAACTGGATGCCTGCAGTTTGAGAAATAATGGAGATATATTGTGAGAGACTCACATTTTGCCTTGTTGCTTCTCAGAAAAGATGTATATATGTGAAATCAGGGAAAGAGGAGTGATGTTTAATTGAATTGACATTTGATTGAGGATTTATTTCTTGGCAACTGGATATAAAGGCTTATGCAGACCCTTTCTCTTTGGTAGAATAAAGTGCCAATACACAATTATAGGCATGTTCTGCTTTTTTCCAATACATAGTGTTTTGCAAGAAATTGTTAACAATAAGAAGTAGTATTGTTGATGGGAAATCATATTTTCATTCCTTTGTAAGTTTCCTATTAAAAAGTCATTAAAAACCTAGAAGGCAGCAGTGAATATTCAGAGGGCTCTCTGTGTTAGATTGAAACAGGAATTTATGCTCCATTTTAAAGCTGTATTGGTGTGCAGGCGTAAATATGAAGTCATAGGTAGCTAGCCATATACTAAAATGTGAAGTCATGTTACCCGAAAAGACAATATCTGACCAACAGGAGGCAAAGTATAGACTTTTTTTTTTTTTTTTTTTCTGTAAGATATGCAATCCTAAGCATTCTTTCAACTTGCTGCAATAATTTTCTGGCTCTGTAGGAGTATTCCAATTTTTTTTTCAAAAGTGTTACCTTTAGAGCTGAAGTGATTAGAAATTAAGTTGGAAAAAAAGCCAATTTTTTTTTTCCTGGATATTCTTTTCTATAACTTGAATTCCCTAGGTTTTAATTTCTTTGTGAAGTATTTTTACAGATTCAAATTTCAATTGTCCAGACTGCAAGATGTGAATGAGATGTGAAATAACTACGATGTTGCACTACTCCTCCTTGTAACTGCATGTGTCTTTTGTTTTAGTAAGCAATGAATGCTAATCGTTCAGTAAAGTTCAGGCCTGTCTGAGGTCCTTGCGTAGGTTCTCTTCCCTGTAAGAAATTATCTTCCTCATGTTCCAGAAATGAAACCTAGAGTTCCCTCATATATTAAGGAAAATTACTTAAGCTGCATATGAAGAAAGTACCTACTACTTTGAGACAGATATTTCTGTTGATAGAAATTATAACAAAAGAGTCTGCAGTACTGCTTAAGCTCATTGACTGATTTGGTTTTGGTATCCACATTTTCAGATTTTACATCAGTATTATTGCTTTTGGCTTCATAGTATATCTGGTAGAATGGGTCCAGGATCCAAGTTTCCATTGCATTGGTATCATCTGCTTTCTATCTGTGTACAAGTCCTTAATGGCAAAATAAAATTAATAGTCTCACTGCTGTGTATCTTACTGGCACACAGCATTTCATGCACTCCCTCCCCATTTCTGTTCAGGTGTTTCAGATCAAGGATGTGGGAGAGTCCTGACACCACCATTTCAATGGGAAATGGTGGAGGACTGAAAGTTAACATTCCTCAGTACTTTTTTTTTCTGTCTACCTATGACCTCATTAGTACATGTTTGTCAGCCCTGGCCTGCTCAGGATATGCATTCATGTGCAATATCTTCTGCTGTTCTGATTGTTGCCTTCTGTTAGATCTTTTTTTCACAAAAAAAGAAGGATCAGCAGGCAGAGGTGAGGAATAATTAATTCTAGAGTGATTTATTTGTCTGAGAAAACTTGCTAGATCATAAAGTTGTCCAGAGGATGTCTTCAGGGCATTTCAAAACCTGAAAAAAAATGCATGAAGTTGAGATTCATCAGTTGCTCATGGAAACTGTGGCCAGAAAGCCAAATAGTGTGTTAAATGTTACGTACTCCTTTTTTTTTGCCTGGTAGGCTGGGATTAACATTTAACAAGGAATTTTGTGGTAATAGAACTACAGCATCTTTTTTTGGCACTTTAGAGATGCCATGATTCTTTCTAGGGCTTGTTTTGTGCTAGTCAATGTCTCACAGCTACTATTTGGGAAAGATTAAAGCAACAAGGATCACTTAAAATAAGCCTAGTTAAAAAAAAAAAAAAAAAAAGAGAAAAAAAAGAAAAAGGACAGTAAACCAGGGTTTGTTTGGTAAGATCTGCTTCTCTGTCATTCTCTAAATGTGTGTTGACACTCACCATTTGCTTCCGTCAAGGTAAGGCTAACTTTAATAAAGCAGGTTGTCTGTTTATAAAAAGACTCACAGAGCAGTGGGAAGAAGAAAAATCTATATGGTGAGAGGCAGCTGATAGCCAAAACTTCTGTGTATCATGCCGCCTTGAATGCAGTGTGCCTGCACATGTTTTTGGATGTTTGAGCACATCCATGCCCTTAAGACTGTGGCTGATGAAGATAGCTATCAGGGTTGGAGTTCAAGCTATAAAAAATACTTCAAGGATCAGTACCCCTTCAGTTCAAAGGCTAATGAAACTCTTTACTCACTGAGCGTTTGGAGCTCCTCAGTGTTTTTAGTGAGCTTATACATTCCGGTCTGAAGGAAGAAGCAGGTGGTGTTTTTTTGCACTGCACAACTCGGTTGTGTGAAGTAGAAAGGAAGAAGCATAGGTTCCTACACCAAATAACCCCTACGTAGCTTCTAGTGGCAGACTTCCTTCCAGGAAACCGCACCTGGAATCCCCAGCTCTAACGAGAACAAGAAAGTGCGAGCGGTGAATATTACAGATACTTCCAGCAAATCTGTACTCTTACATTACCTTTCCCATCCATGCCTTCATGACAGGGTACTGCTGAAGCAACATCTGAGTGTTCACTTAGATGACAGAAGAGTGGAAAACGTAACCTTAGTAATCAGGGATTAGGCATTTCATTTCCACTCCAAAGACAAAAGTGGAGTATCATCTTATTTTGACCCCCTCTGTGTCAAGAGGTTTATCCATTTGTATTTTTAGTGGTAAAACCATTTGTCATCATTTCCTCATTAGAGCCACAAGATGAGCTATCAGCTTTCAGTGTGCTCCTTTTGGTTCATTTCTTGTAATTACTTCAGATTCCAGGTTGGAACGTTTTCAGTGACTACTAGGATTAGGGTTTGCTCTTTAATCTTTTTGATTCCAGGTTAGTGAGAGTTTACCGTATTCCAAATGAATGATGCCAGTCTAGTAGATGTCATAAACCAGCTGCAAGCTCATTTGAAACTATAAATAAAAACATGCCTGAGGTCCACAGCTTCATGAAAAATTAGTCTGAGTTGACATGTATTCTGTACCAGTGTACCTGTCCAGCTGGGTCACAGAAACATGGTGATCTTAACACCACAGGAATTCTGTGAAGGAATGCTTAAGACTTTTGGTACCCTTGGGAAGCTTATTTGTGTATGTTTCTTGAAACTTCGTTGCATCATCGTAGCATCCAAAGCTCCAGAGCCCACATTATAGCATACAATACAGTCACATTGTTTCTTGGATGAATTCAAGTTATGTGTATTTATCAAATTGGAATCTCAAATCGCATACATGTCACCAAACTACACAATGTTTTAGATATCAGAACTTGGATAGTATTATAGCTGCACTGGCTTTTTCTACACATCAGTGAATTTTCATGCCATTGTATAATTCTGAAGTATAGTGCCAGCCAAAAATAATCTCACTATTTAGTCCCAATCATTAGCGTTTTTGGAACTGTAACAGTATGTTACATATATATATATATATATATGCTCATCTTGTTTGCCTCGCCTGTTTTACAAAAATGTTAAAGCCTAAGGAGGAGGGTAAAATATTATACTGATTACTGTTCTCTTAATATACAAAAACATTCATAGTTGGAACAAAGTCTGACTTCTAAATGTCAGGGGTGAAAAAAAATGAGGTTAGTTTCAGCCAGCTCCTTAGGGCGTAAGTGAGAGAAACTGCTAGAGATGTTATTCAGTAATTTCAGGGAGTTTGCTTTGTGTCAGAAGACCTTCAGTTTCAGCTTATTTTCATGCTGTAATAATC